GTCTTCAAATACGCAAAGACGTTTTACAATAAATCCCGATTTTACTCTGATCAATGAGATGCAAAAGGTAACTATTAGCGATGTCATGCTTTAAAACTCTCAAAAACACAAAACTATTTTGCTTCTGTACCTTTGTTTACACTAAAGTCTTCCACACCTGAGGTTTCCATACGAACCAAAGGGTATTGTAAGTAGTACTTTGTATTTAAAACACCAGGCATAAAACTAAGCCATCCACTCGTAATGACAAGAATGTGAAATGTCAGTTTCTAAGATGAACTGTGATTACGCTAACGTAATTGTTAACATCTACTAACGGCTCAAAATAACAATATGATATACGGGATATTTTGTTCGTTTGTTCAACACATTTCATTTGGTTATTCGCCAACTCGACTTAGAATGTCCAAACAATGTTTAACATTGTTCTTCCAACTTACCCTAGAAACGTTCTTTGCCTAATTATAGTAGTATTCAGTAATATTTATACCAACTATAGCAGTGATGATTAAAACATGATACTATTAGCAGTATGTGACGGATTTATTATTATATATTTATTTTAAAATCGATGTTTGCTTAAATTAAATTTATATTTAGAAATGCACATAACATACTGTTAAATATATATTGAGAAATTCCCGCCTATTCTCTAAAGTTGTAGAAGATTCTCGAATGTAAGAATCAACAATATATGTGTGTACGTAAACGCTACTGTTAGCGTCAGTATTATTACGTAAAACTGAAATTTCGAGAAACTCTCCACACGCCGATGAATATAACCAACGCGGCGCGCAAAAAAATAAGAGTATCTATTATTGGGTTGCTGTAATTGGTGTGCTATACATTTCGGAAGATATAACTGTGACTGTTATAATGCTTATTAATCGGGAAACTTAAAATTTTTGACTAGGAACGTTTATAAATTTCAAACATTAAAACCATTTAACGTTAGTGGATTTACATTGGTTAGTACTTTTACACTTTTACTAAAACATTACCTAATGTCATCGGTGGAAACTTGACTTGTAATCGGCGTGTAATCAGCGAGAACTACAGAGCTAGCTAGCTGTTCAGTGATTTATACCTACATCAACTCGAAATTAACTCGCTCATCATGAACTCTCGATAAGATATCAAGGAAGTTTCAGACCAGAAAGAATACTTTATATTGCTTGTAAGTTTGTAAAGCTTTTGTATATAAATCAT